GCCTAGCTGCCTAGCTGACCTAGCTGAATAACATGTGAAAGCGTCGAAAATCATTCGACCAAGTGAGAACCTGGTGGGGCTATAGATGCGGCTACCTTTCATCAGTAAACATTCCAGTTTCTGGGATCTATGATGCGTTGGGCTGTAGTCATCTGCTCAAACCAACGCCTTTCTTAGCTGAAACTCCTGCTGACCCACCAGTGTCCCTCAAAGATTCCATGTGAAAAGGGAAGACAGTCAAGTGCCATAGGATGAGGACGTCCCGATCAACAAAGCAGCTGGAAGAAGGCACAAAGGTACATCAAAGAAGTAATATTCCGAAACACCTGGAGTGTGTAGGAATGCAGACCGTTCAAAACATGAGCCAATCCTTGATCTTCTGCTACTCCAAGGGGCACTTACATTATAGACACATATATAAACATCTCTGCCGCAAAATCCGATCGTTCCAACTGACAGCTGTTTGGCCTTGGGGCTTCTGCTTCTTGCTGGTTCCACATCCTGCTGGCTTTCAAGCTTTCATCTGATGGCACCAAAAGGACGGGGAGTTGGAAAAGGACCTGAAAAAGAAAAGAAATGAAGGCAAATATAAGCAAACATAGGCAATTTCTAGCGGGCTTAGGACATACCTTGCTGTTTTCATCCCCTATCCACCTCTTGATATCCCTTAATAAGGCTTGAGAGGAACCTTCTGCATGAAGCATATACCAGTATGTGGTGTTCCTATTACAAATCGCCCAACTTAGGGAATGTTTGGTGGTGTTCAAACTTGTGACTCATGTCCACCAGCTCCCAAACAGTATCTGCCCAGTCCTTGGCTTTCTCTTTTTTCACTTTCACTTTCTTCGTCTGCACGGTCCCCCCGAGCTCCCCCAGTCATTGCACCGTTAGTCATGGACCTATGCTGACGGCTGCCGGCCTTCCGCCGCTGGGCCTTTGGTTCTGCCTGCACAAGGATGGAAGTGGAGCAGGTTTCTAGGCCAAACCAGTTCACCAACCCCCAGACATCCCAGACAGAAAGTGCAACAGCCCCCACGCCTTTGGGCACTGTCAACACAAATTATGTGGATTCCAGGGACACAAAAACCGATGCAAATTGAGACATAAGTCAGTCTGGGTGCAAACTTTAGTTTTGGGACCAAAGTGCGGATTAGCTTGATTCCCTGATTGATCCAGTACTATCTATCCACAAAGGCCAAAGAGAGATCAGGACCAGCAGGAACTCCCCAATATTGATGACACCGTCTCTGTGAGGAGCCCGCAGCCGCTCCACTGTTTTATAACGCAAAAGGTGTCCGCTCAGATGAGCAGTTCCCCTGACAGGTGGTGATATGAGAACAGGTCTAAGTTTTCCACACAGAATTTCACGCCGTGCTGAAACAATGGGCGCATCACTGTTAATTAATGTTAATTATATATGTTTGAACTTTTTTTGTAACATCTTCACCACAGTCGCTTGGGAACTGCGCAGCCAAGAAGACCTCAGTGATCTCAGTGCGGATTCAGAACCTCAGCCCAGCAAAGGCCACACCGCTTTTGTCCAAACAGCAACCCTGGCGAAAATTCCCTCGTTCCTTGTAGTCGTTCACTGGCTAATTAGTCTATCGATGTCGGGTGTTTTGCACGGCCCATCTTTGTGCTCCGAGAATCCCATCGCAAAGCGGTTCTGGCCTGACTGGCAGCGGAATTCTGGGATTGCTTGAATTTCTTGTGGATGTTTGGTGTTGATAAACTTCGCCCAGGTGGAACATAAAATGCGCCCGGAGAATGTGAAGTCTTTTGGATTTTGAGAAACTCAGAAACTCAAAGACAAAAAACGCAGAAAGAGTCATCGTGGAGGATCTCGACATCTGAGATGCTGCTTGGCACCCCACATGGCTGAAACGCCATAACGCTGTGCGAAGTGCCGCTCGAGCGCCAAGACACGCTCCTGGCAGCTGGGATCAGTGCAAGCTTTCAGTGAAAAAAACACTAGAAATCCAATGAGCAAAATGCTGGTCTCGTCCTGACAGGACACCTGGTTTAGTATAGCTTGTTCTACACATAAGTGTTCCATCGCTGTGGTCGGATAGCGGCCACGCGTCGCAAATTCAAGCAACGTCTGAACGCAACATATGCCACTCAAGTAGATCTAAAAGGGTGGAGCACACTAAGACCTGCATCAAATTAGAAGCTCAGATAGCTGCTCACTCAAACAGGGTCTCGCACCGCTCTTTTTATCCTCCGCATGAGCTGAACATGTCAAATCCACGACTGCATCAACGCATCTTCCATTTCCACTTTTTCGCAACAAAATGAAACAGGAATCTGCCAGCGCAAGCGTTGCGTCACCGCCTGCCAGGCTTCAAAATGGACTAGTGAATTCACAAACTCACCGTGGATGTGACTGCTGCATTCACTTGAGAATAGCTTGATGGCCATCTGGTTACTAACAGTTATTTTTTTTCCAGCCTTGCCTCATGGAGACATGTCCTTGTAGATAGAGCTCTGGCGGTTTAAGCCCGGTGCTTTGGCCGACTGGTCTGCTTCATCTAGGCTGTGATCCAAGGTTTCCAAGTCCTTCTGGCTGAAGACCCATGGGATGAGGAAGCGCCTGGCCCAGTGGGATTGTGGTGTTATGACAGCCACGGGTCCATCCAACAACCTTTGGGAAGGCTCAAACGTGCTCCAACAATACATGAGAAATATGAAACACCAGGTGTGTTTCATATCACGTGTTCCCTTCAATAGACATTGGAGAAGGCAAGCTATGACAAGCTCACCAGTCCAGCCAGTCCAGCCTGAAGGGTGCTAAGCTCATGAAGAACAAAGGAAAATAGAGTCCAAAGTAGGTATTCACCATCCAGCAGGCCACCTGGGAATCAAACTGTACAGACACCCATGCAGCAAAATCAAGAGAACACACTTGGTCATCAAGAGACCTTTCTGGAGGGAATGATGCTTCATTCTCAGATCATTGCCCATAGCCTTCAAGACTGAGATGTTGCTGCAGGGCATCAAGAGCACAAGTAGAAAAAAAAAACCTGCCCTTCGAAGACAAGCTGCAACGAGCCCGATTTGAATCAGTGTGAAAATCTGTATTGTCCCCAGCGATACGGTCGCAAATACAGACCTCTTTGGTACAAAACGGGCATCAGTGAACATTAGCAAGCACCGTTCATAAAGTTGGGTGCTTTGAATGCCGTCTATACCTTAGTGGTAGGCAAAGGCTCAAGGGAAACAGTCTAGAGGAGGCAGAGCTTGATGATGTACTCAAAAAAACTCAAAAATAAAGACCAAAGATGACCAAAGTAGAAGGAGCTTTCCAACAACTCTCAAAGTGTGCTGAAGCAAATGCCAGGCGTGCCCACAAAAATCAGGGTGCCAAATACAGCGGCTTTGGGTACCGATTGCAAAAGTGATGGCGCAAGCAATGGTAGACCAATCCTGAGTGGGCAAAAAGGTTGCAGGAAAGCAGCAATTTGCACCTGGCAACTAGCAGCATCACAGTTGGCTCGAGGTCAATTGGAGAAGTAACCAAATGAAATGCCTGTAGAGTTTCAGTGTTTACAGCTTCAGAAATCTTTACCAAGGTCCAAAGAGAAAAGCCCACACAGGACTCGCAATGGACTCAAGACTCAAAAATTTGACCATTACAACAGAGACTCATGAAATAACACAGCAGTGGTGCAAGGCGGTTTTCTCGCACGTGTGTGATCTGGTGGTCTTCATCTCTCTCTGCCAGAGACAACACGAATTGCGGCGAATGTGGCAGTGATCCAGTGACGAACGGGAGACCAAACAAGGGGCCAAGGACATTGAACGATGCCTCAGACTGTCACACTCATTTCATCATTTCAAACAATCAGAAACGAAGCACAATGCAGCTTTCAAATATTTCCAAATGTTCACTTTGCTCCAAAGCCCCTCAAAAGGCAGAAAGAAATGCAACGAAGCTCAACACTTCAATCCTGCAATGGGTCTGTTATGCGCAAAAAACTGAGCAGAGAATCTCTCAAAATGAGACCGAGAGGCCATACAAGCAAAGGAGGAATGAAAGTAGCTGCCCTTGCTGAGCTTCATCTCTGGCTTTTGACAAAGGCTGCTGGAGATGTTCCTCGCCAACGGCTTTGATTTCCCGTGTCAATATCATGATATGTACCGATATTTTTCCAGGTAACTAGACCAACTGCCAAAGAAACCTGAAGTGCACATATGTTTAAATTTCTAGACACTTTAGTAGCGACCAACCAATTGGTTCAATCGCTGGATATGTTCCGGCAAGTGTAATCTCCTGCCCTCGAACTGACCAGTCACAAGTGTGATTTTAGGCTTTAGGCACAAAAAATGAAGGGACATAAGATTTATTGGGTCAGACTGCCTACAGCTTTTGATAGGCTGATTTGACCCTTCACCAAAAGGGGTGAACACCTCTGCGCCACTATGGCTGAATTTAGCGGTTTCAAACAATTTCACCACCCTGAATTGTACCATTCAACTTATTTCCGATATCACCAACCCCAAATGGAGAAACACCTTAGTGTGATGAACGACTCCTAGAATTTGGTTTCTGAACAAACCAGTGGTTGTTAATCCATGGCGATCCTTTAGTTACCACAAGTTCTGTCCTGGCGGTTGAAAATATATTTGTAATTTATATTCCCTTGCGATCATCCCAGGTTAAACCAGAAAGTCCATCAAGTCCATCAAGTCTATGGTTTGGATCCCTTAGTACTTACATGTACTTATAGCATCTTATAGCCCTCCTTGGTTGGACAAGTTATGGTTTCGTTCCCAGATCTTCCCAGTGGCTGATCCAGGTAGAAGAAGACCACCACCGGAAACGCCGCCAGCGCTGCACAGGCCACGCCCTTGGCCGAGATGGCCGTGAGGTCGGTGACCCAGGTCCGACGACTGGTCGGGTTGAAGCCATTGCTCCCCGTGTCGATGAAGGTCACGGGAAAGAGGTGTTGATTCCTCAGCCCATACCACGAAGATTGTGTGCTAAAAATGTGTGTCGAGAATTAGAAACCTCTATGGCTTCCTGTGAGAGTGGACAGTTTCCGTAAAAGTTTGTACGGATTCTTGTGAATCTTTTGTCTCCTCAAATCATCAGCGAACTTGCAAGTGATGATTCTGATTCAAGGACATGTTGGCAAGTTACAGAGCATAGCACTTGCCCTAGGAACTGACATCTTTGGGCAAACTATGGCAAACTGCGGCAAATGCTTCTGTTGCAGCAGAGTTTCAAATAGCACGCTGTAAAAATGGACACAAAGAGCGTGATGGTGAGGGCATAGTCTTTCCTTGGCAGCATGAGGAAAGCCTTGAGATCCATATGGGAACTGAAGCCTTGGATCATGTGATTTTGCTACCTGGAATCTACCTGCTGGGGGTCTTCAGTGTGCCAAGTATCAGGAAGCTGCGAGCCCTGTAACCGAAGAGCCTGGAGGATTGCAGGGTACTCAGCCACAGAGTTAGAGCTGTGAATCCAATGGTCATATTCCTGAGCACCAAGCGCTGCACCGCAGAACCACTCATGGAATCCACGGAATCAGTTTTTGAGCTAACAAATTCCTGGAGAGATCACGCAAAGTAACAGACGGGCTTCACCTCGTGACAAAACTTGCATCTGAGCGTCAGAGTTAGAAGTTTGGAAGCCGCATCTTCACTTCCATATTGTGACCCTGGGACTCTGGTGCCATCGCCGGCAACTGCTGGATTTTCCCACAATTGAATCATGCCTTGGATGCCATCATTGATGTAGACAATGCCAATGAAGGTGGCAAAGATATTCTCCGTGAATAGGGTAAGGTATTTCACGTACTTGGAGAGTTCGAAGGCTGCAATCAGAAACATCAAGAGCCCCACGAAGATTCCGGTCCAAGCAAAGAAAGGCCAAAAGGGCAAGGAATGCTCGTCTGCAAACATCAAGAGCTTTTCAAACAGAAGTGTAATCGGGCCCGTTGGTCGCAAGACCAATAAAGGCTGACAGCCAATGATTGAGTGAAGCATACCAGCTGCGCTGTTCATCATCAGATATTCGTTCAATCCCATGAGCCCATTTGTAGACTCTTTGATGTGCTCTCCCAAAGCCAAGGTGGAGGTGAATGTGGCAAAGAACATGAAGAGAGCAGAAGAAATTGTTTTCCTTGGTCCGCATGGTCCGCTCTCACGTGCAGCACATGTAAGATGATTGTACTTTGTACAGTACCACAATCATGAGCTTCACCTGTTTCTTTCCGCTGAAGTGAAATTCATTCTTTTCAGCGGATTGATTTCCCGGAAGTGGATGTAACGACGATGATTGTGATACCCCTGATACCTTTTTGAGTCATGTGTTTTTCTTTGCAATGGAATCTTTTTCTTTCCAATTTGACCCCTGCATAGACTCTACTTGACTTCATTGCTGCAATAAAGTAACAAGCAACGATTCAAAACTCAGACGGAAGTAGCGGACGAAATTGACAGATCTAAAGTTGGTGAGGGTCTTTTAGGAATAGGTTCAGTCAAACCTACAGCTTACAAGGCCGTGATAAAACTGGCCAAGTTTTATCAAAGGTCATTAAAATTTTCATTAATATCAAAAGCAGGTCCCAGCTTCGCAGTTAAAGCATCGGAGATCCAATCTGACCTCCAAAACTGCCATCTGCGGCGGTAGTCGTTCGCTAGACCTCCGCAGAAGCCACCAATCTCCTGCTGGCAAAATCGACAGGCACGGCAGAATGATCGTCGTCATCGTCATCGTCATCGTCATCGTCATCATCATCATCATCATCATCATGATGTTCTTTTAATTTCCAGCACTATCAACTTCATTCATCATGCATCATACTTTTCATCGTCACTCGTCCCCATCTCTTTTTCAACCGCATAAGCTGGGGCTTTTGGACAGTTGAAGCGCCACAAGTTGCCAAGACGAGTCCTCCAATCCAGCCACGGTTGTCGCTTTGTTGCCGCGTCTCCTGACTCTCGCTTGTATCCGAAGGAATAATCAACAACATGGCTGTGTCTGAAAATGGGGAGAGATACCCCAATTCCAGTTCAGGGTGAAGCAAAGAAATTCTTTTTGGACTCATGTGGCATACCTGGAGTCACCTTGACGTAGCAAACCTTGCAAACGTCAGCGGAGAACCTGAGCTGAGACCCCACTCCTGACGATGGTTTTCTGCCCAGTTTCCTCGTCCACAGAAGACCTGCATGGCACAATCAAAAGCGTCGTTTCTCCTCACAGTCTTTGAAACCTCATGTAAACAGTTGCAGGGATGGTACAAATCCTACCTTGCAACATCTTGCAACTGTAACCACGAGTAGGAACTCGCTGGAAATGGCAACAGCAGTCTGTTGATTCTTCATCACACGACGCCCACAGCCACCGATGCCTTGCATCACTGGTGGCTCCATATGTGGCCCCGGAAGGTAGAATCGCTTCAGCCGAGGGAACTTCCATGGATCAAGCTGCGGCCGCGGTGTGTCGGCCAACGTTCGTAGTTCGGTATCGGATGGGGTTCCGTTGTTGAACCAGCTGCGGGCCAGGTAGAGCTGAAGAGGGAAAGACTTGGAACATCTTGGAACCATGTTCACAGACAGTACAATCAGTAAACATGAAAAGTCTCTGAGCTGGACTGGGATGATCCACGCTAACAACCAGCATATGTGTCTATGTTTGAGTCGTGACTTGTGAGTGTCAAACATTCTTGGAGCATACGGCTTGTTTCGGCCCTTTGCCAGTTGGCCCATGTGCGTGGCAGCAACCGATTGGCTGTCGCAGCTGCGGCCTTGTTGCGGCTGGCATTAAACTTGTCGTCCCAGAAGCTGCAGCCTTAAAAGCAGTGTTTTGGCCACGACCAGGGTGATCAACATTACTCGAGTGTCCGGAAGAAGTATATCGATCGTCCAGGTCTTACTTCAAATGAAGTGTTCTTGTTGTGTCATAAAAATGTCGCATGTTGTAGCCTGTCCAGTGGTGAGCTTTGCAAATCCCTTCTGTCCCCAGGACTGCTTCCACTTGCAGCAGAAAAGATGTCTACATGGCACATCATGGCACGGTGGATGTTTTCGAGGGCTAATCTCCCCACTCGGAACAGTGACCCAAAGCGACAGATTCCCTGTCGGTTTGCACCTCTGCCCTTGTCGGTGTTCTCATCGTACTCAACATTGCCTGCAGCCTGCGCAACAGCTATGTTCTGTCCTCCGCCTCCTCAATCTTTTCAATCATCTCAATCATCTCAATCATCATCATCGTCGTCGTCGTCGGCGGCGGCGGCGGCAGCGGCGGCGGCGTCGGCGTCGGCATCGGCGTCGTCGTCGTCGTCATCGTCGTCACGGTCATCGTCGTCATCGTCATCGTCGTCGTCATCATCCTCATCATCCTCATCATCATCGTCGTCGTCGTCATCGTCATCGTCGTCATCGTCATTGTCGTCATCGTACTCGTCGTCGTCATCATCTTCATCCTCATCCTCATCCTCATCATCATCATCGTCGTCGTCGTCGTCATCATCATCATCATCGTCATCATCGACAGGAACCTACTGTTTCAACACTCTGACTCTCGCGCGGCCAAGCTACCCATGAGAAGCCAAACACCACAATCACCAACAAACACCAGGTTTCCACACGCAAAAAGCTGCAAGGTCAGAGATCCCCGAAAGGTCGTTGACTAGAACCTGGAATGATGACTGCAGGTTGGCTGGGCAGCGGTGCCGCCAAGGCAGGTGTTTGTAACCAACCTTGTGGAATGTTGGGTGAAAGGGTTACAGTAACACCTGGATCAAGTGGGAACAGCCTTGTCTGTGGAAGCTGGAAACTACAGAAGCTCCACTGTGATATCGAAGGCAGTTCTGTAGTCACTTTCAAAGTTGTAAATCTTCTCCTTAAATAGCAGAAACATGCAGAAACTATCAGAAACTACCTTGGCAACTCACCAACGCAGCATCGTGGCCTCACCCACTTGCTCAGCATGCCAAGTGCACGTCTGAGTCCTCCGGAAAAATCTGGGTGGGCAGTGGGCGTCTCCAGTGATGTAGTTTTGTGACAATGTGAAGATAGAAACAATATGTAAACAATAACATGCCTTCCATGCAGTCATTTCCCTTCTTGATGTTTGATGAACTTGGTGTAAGACTTGGTGTGAAACTTCGTTACTGTGGTGTACAACTCAAGTTTCGACCACTTCTCCAAACCCAAGAGCTGGACCCGTTGGGCTGGGAGCAATTGCCACCCAATTCCTGCACGAGCTCATGGGATCAGTGGAATCATTCACCATCCATCGGCAAATCCTAGTGTGGCAAATCCTCGGCACCACAAGAATGTTGGTCCTTGGTTTTATGGATATGGCAATCCTGTGGGGGTAAACTGGGTAAGCATCAAACAACGTGGATGTTCTGTAGATGCACCATACAAAATATACAACTGGGTACATGCATCAAATAGGGACTTTGCAGGAATATCATCAACTCTCCTGCGCTGCACATTCGCTGCTCTTGTTGGACCATTTCTGAGAGGGGCATTTACCTGAGAGATGCATAGAGATGCATAGTGTAACAATGTGTAACATCAGGACAAGTGCTTTTTTCAAAGCAAATTCAAATGTACCCAAAACTCCAGTGGTAGATCATCATTTCGTATATGTTCCCATCGAAATGGTCTACGTGTATACCCCCATTTTGGACACACCTAAGTGAATTGCCTATGTACGAATACCATGAACTGCGCAGGTATGTCGTACATCAGGTGGTTCATTGCCTGTAATTATGGGATAAACCAATAAACCACCCTGGACCCTGATCTTGTTGTGCTCCCTGAAGGCATCTGATTTTGACGACCCTCTGTTAAGCCAGGCTGAGAATGTCACCAGGCAAGCTGTACCTGGAAATTTTCATTGAAAAGGCCGGGGAAACTGCTGCTTACGCAAACTTTGCGAACTTATGCGAGCTTTGGCATTCTCAACTGAACCTTGCACCAGTTACTGTCTTTGCGCTAGGAGACTTGAGAGGGAAGGGTGAAAGATCGAAAGGTA